TTTCTTCATCAGTTTTCTGTGTATCTCATTATCCCTCTACCATTTCCAAGAAACCTACTGGTCTTCAGTTTAAGCCATGACTTCATCGGTAACTGTCAAGTGAGTCTCAACCAACTCCTGTCGAATGAGGTGAAGACATTGCCGGTGAGTCCGTGCTAACCTTCTGTTAATCAGAAACTAGATTCTTCACATACTATTTCCTTCTTATCTACTTTTATTTACTTGTTTATTATTAACAATGTTCATGTTTATGTTTTTTTACAATGTTTATTATGTTTATTATTTTGTGAGTAAAGTTTTCCTCAAAATCATTGAATGTCTTTCAAGTTGATAAACGAGAAGAAGCGCGCCAAGAAGGGTGATAAGTACAAGAATTCTGGGACGTTGGAGTTCAACAGTGTGGAGCTCTTGAAGCAATATTCTTTTCTGGATTTTATCGCTGGAGGGTGAGCTATTCTGAGAAACTCTTGTGCCTCTTTTGGATGCTTAATCTGACACTTTACGGTATTCCCTTCAGGACCCAACTTGATTTTGCTGTTGCTGTCGATTTCACTGCGTCCAATGGTGCCGTTCATAAGCCTACATCACTTCATAGTATCAGTACTGCTCAACCTAATCAGTATGAAATTGCCATCAGGTAAGTTTCCACTTCCACGACTTTGAGGATAATTGAGCAACAAAACCAGCCGCACGGCCGCGAACAGCATATCGCGCGGCATCGCGGAACTAGCGATTCCTAGCTAGTTGTCTCGAGACAACTAGCCAGGAGTCGTTGTTCGTTGTGAGAGAGTGAAGGATCACCTTACAACACGCCTTTTACTTCAAACTAACTGTAGCGTCGCATGACTACGAATCGAATTGCCTTCCCACTTAGGAACTTGAGATTAAAGACCAGGAAAATTAGTTGGGAGCAAGTGTGGAGGAACCGAGAGAGAAGGGCGAAGTTGAGAAGCAGGAGTCCATGACTTTGACGCCGACTGCCATCTGTGGACCTTCAATATATCGTAAAAATAGCTCTGTGAGGGACATCCGAATTGAGCAGAGTGACATCTGCTTAATTGATGGAGTTGAACCTGCGAACGCTTCAACCCTTGCGGCCACTTTGCCACCTTAATTCGGTTCCGCTAGATGGTCCTTACGTTCTCATTTCAGAGCTGTCATCGATATTTGTCAACATTACAATAACAGTAAACTATTTGATGCCTTCGGATTCGGAGCAATCCTGCCACCACAAACCTGCGTATCGCCAATCTTTTCATTGGTAGGTGCTGAAGGTGTCACATACGTCTTACTGGAGCTGGCCCGGAACCAGTCCTTTTTCAGAATTTCGATGCAAATCCGTCTGTGGTTGGGGTACGAGGCGTAATGGAAGCATATCGATACGCACTGAATCGAGTTACTCTCTACGGGCCAACGAATTTCAAGCCAGTTATTCAGGAGGTTGCGAAAAAAGCCTCGAGGATATCGTCGAAAACCGATGGATCACGATATCAGGTGAGAACCAGAGATAGGAATGGGTGGGCGGATGAAAGTATAAACCCTATTTCAGGTGCTTCTGATCATCACCGATGGAGCGATTTCTGATTTGGCCGCTACAAAAACTGCTATTATAGCGGTAAGTGAGCCATGAAATGGGCATCCGCATGGTATTGGCAGGACATTGATACCTTAGGT